GGATAAATGTCTATTCAGATCCCACTATTCAGTTGCTCACTTGAAAATTATCTTTTAATTACTGAGTTTTAAGAATTTTTCATGTATTGTGGATGTAAGTCCTTTGTCAGATAAATGATATTTTCCCAGTATCTTGGTTGTCTTTTCTCTCTTTTTTTTTTGGCTGCGCTTTGCAGCATAGAGGGTCTTCGTTCTCCGACCAGGGATGAAACCTGTGGCCCTGTATTGGCAGTGCAGAGTCTCAACCACTGGGCCACCAGGGAAGCCCCTCTTTTCATTTCCTTTCTTTCTTTCTGGCTGTGCTGGGCCTTCGCTGCTGCGTGCGGGCTCCCTGCAGTTGTGGTGAGCAGGGCTGCCCTTTGTTGCAGGGCTTCTCACTGCTGTGGCTTCTCCTGTTGCGGCGCGTGGGCTCTCGGCGCATGAGCTTCAGTAGTTGTGGCATGCAGCCTCAACAGTTGGCTTGTGGAATCTTCTAGACCAGGGATGGAATCCATGTCCCCTGCTTTGGGAGGTAGACTCTTCTCCACTGTACCACCAGGGAAGTCCATCTTGTCCCCTTTTTTTTGGATGATGCCTTTGGAGCACAAAAGTTTTTAATTTTGATGAAGTCGGAGCGCTCGCTGTGCCTGCTCTGTGTGAGCCTCGACTCCGGGGGCAGGTATGGAAGCAGGAGAGCAGTTGTTCCAAGGACCACAGGGTGGTCCAGGTGAGAGGGGGTGCTGGCTTCAGCTCGGGCATGGCCACAGGGCTGGTGAGAAGGGGCCAGCGGGAGGCAGCTGGGAGACAGAGCTGGTGGAACACGGTGAGGGATTGCTGTAGTGGGAGGGAGGGAGAGAGATCAGATGGATGCTGGATTTCAGCTTAGATAATTTCAATCAGCTGCCTGTCGCCTGCTGTAGAATTACCGCCATTCTTAATGGTGCTTGGCAGGTGAGTCCTGTAATCCCTTCTCGGACACTTGGAGTGGCTTTTTGTTGTATGATCACTGTGCCAAGGAGATGGCCCAGGGACCCTGACCTTCTGCATCATCCTGTAACATCTCCTAAGCCGCCTCCAACAAACATGTTGTGTACATTAGAATAGTGTGCCTGCCCTGCGGGTGCAGCTTTGAGGCGAATCCTTTGCCCCCTTCTAACCAGACTGCAGTTTCCAAGCTCCCGTGTGGAGATTGTGGAGCTCTCAGCGAATGGTGTCAATTCAAGTGAATGGGTTTTTGAAACCTAAATGTCATGATTTGACAGAGCTACTTTGAGGGAAAAGGCTTTAAAGGAGGAAATAACGTTTGCTGACTTTTGTGCAGTGCTTGGCACTTCTGCCTGCTTCCTCGGAGACCTCATTGGCTAGAGCAGAAATGAAAACACCAGGAAAATTTGGGTTTTTGAGTCTACTGTGTTCTCTGTAGTTTTTTTAAGTATAGTCATTAAAAATCTTATTCTAAGGGAATATTTAATGACGTGGCAAATGCTCATGATTTATCAACTAAAAATCTGTGTTTGTACACATTTATAACGTAGCATATCTCTGATGGGATCATGAGTGGTGTTTATTTCATTCTTTGCACCTTCCTATATTTCCACATTTTTTGAGAGTGAACGTTCATTTCTTACTCATTTCTTGTTTGGGGCTGTGCTGGGTCTTCATTGCGGCTCGGGGGCGTCTCTGATTGTGGGGAGCACTTCGCTGTCCTGTGTCCTGTGGGATCAAACCCACGCCCTCTGCATTGAACGGCAGGTTCTCAGCCCGACCACCAGAGAAGTCCCGATGGAGAACACTTCTCACTTGTAAAAAATAAAGTTTAATTTTAAAAGCTCCATGTAAACTAGGGCGCATCTGTGCATGCACGCGAGAAGGAAGCACAACGTTTCCTGCTCCGGTGCTGCCTTTCCCGTGGAGACGGAGAGGAGACTGTGGGAATGAGACCCACATTTCTCGCCAGTGAAGTGGAGGTAATAGTGGTCAGTGATGCCTACCTCCTGAAGGTTTTTGTGAGGATTTAATGAGTTCCTGTGCTGAAATAGTTTCCATTAAGTAATTATGTTTGCTGTTACCATTATTGCTATTTGCACTGTTATTTTGGCTTTCACGTCCCATGTCCTTATAATGGTCTGCATGCTTTCCCAAGGTGACTGACCGTGGCTGTTCTCTCTAGAGTTTGCCTGATAACCACTTCATTTTCACTTGATTTTGGGGTCATGTGGGTCTTGCCCACCTCTCTGGAGTACTTAGACAAATCAAGGACTGGGGAGCATGTGCAGTGCTTAGCTAAGACAGCTTTGCCCTTACAGACTTGTCAGTTTATGAACTACGTTCCTGTATGGCCAGGATCAACATTCACTGTCAAAGTTTCCGTTGTAGTAGCCTCTTGCCTGAACAAGATCAAAGCTGTTGAATCCGTGTGACCCGAGGCACGTTTCTGAACCTCCCAGAGTGCCTCAGCTCCTGCTGAAAGCGGGCGCATTCCTGTTCTTAACCGGCACTTGTGCTTGTGCCTGGTCCTCAGTCGTGTCCGACTCTCTGCGACCCCGTGGACTGCAGCCCGCCAGGCTCCTCTGTCCATGGGATTCTCGAGGCAGGAATACTGGAGTGGGTTGCCTTGCCCTCCTCCAGGGAATCTTGCCAACCCAGGGATGGAACCCAGGTCTCCTGCATTGCAGGTGGATTCTTAACCATCTGAGCCCCCAGGGAAGCCGAAGAATACTGGAGTGGGGAGCCTGTCCCTTCTCCAGGTTAACTTCCTGACCCAGGAATCGAACCAGGGCCTCCTGCATTGTCAGCACATTCTTAACCAGCTGAGCTTCCAGGGAAGCCCCCTCATCAGCACAGAGGGCCATTGTTATTTACTTACAGCAACCGTGCTTGTAAGTTACCCTGCCTACTTCACTGTACGTCTTGTCTGTTGTGACTGTCAAATGAAATAGGGATTTGAAAAAGCCTTACAATCTAGAGGATTTTTATTCCAGCGTTGAACTAGGGCCATACTGGAGAAAAAATGAGATTTTGCTTCTTTTCCATTCTTGCACTCATTCCTCCCTTGCAAATTTACCTTTTTCATAACTCATTCATTTATTCAATAAATACCTGGTGCCTCTGATGTACCTGAACCTTTTCTGGGTGCCAGGGGCTAGAAGGGTGGGTGAGGTGGATGTGTGAGCTCTGCTTTTGGGGTGGCTTACACCAGTGGGAGGTCAGAAAGAGAAGGCCATCAACAGGAGAGAAAGAGAGTGTGTGGAGAAAGTGCAGCAGGGGTGGGGGTGTGATGGAGAGTCCTGTGGAGAGGGCTCGGGACTGCTCAGTTGGTAAAGAATCCCCCTGCGGTGCAGGCGATCCCAGTTCGATTCCTGGGTCGGGAAGATCCCCTGGTGAAGGGAAAGACTACCCACTCCAGTGTTCTGGCCTGGAGAATTCCATGGACTGTATAGTCCATGGGGTTGCAAAGAGTCAGACATGACTGAGCAACTTTCAGTTGCAGGACTTGAAGGGCGAAAAGGGGTAGATTTAGGTCTTGTCCATGGGCCTTGGACAAGTCCTGTGATCCTCTGGCCCTCAGTAGCTCATGTAAAAGTTTGTAGGTTAAGGATTTAATGGATGAGTGAGCGCTTCATAAATTATAACACTATGTGATGATTGAGCGTCTTTATTGAGGGAAGCTTTTTTTTTTTTAAGTTATCTGTTTATGGCTGTGCTGGGTCTTGCTGCTGGATGGGCTCTTCTCTAGTTGCAGCAAGCAGGGGCAGCGCTCTCGCTGTGGTGTGCAGGCTTCTCTCGCTGCCAGAGCACTGACTCTCGCGTGTGGGCTCAGCAGTGGCGGATCCCGGGCTTGGGAGCACAGGCTCAGTAGTGGCGATGGGGCTTAGTTGCTCTGTGGCATCTTCCTGGATCAGGGATTGAACCCGTGCCTCCTGCATTGACAGGCAGATTTCTTACCACTGAACCCCTGGAGAAGTCCAAGGGAAACTTTGAACCCACATTTCCAAGAGGTGTGGGTGTCAGGGTGACAGGGGGGAGGAGCTGTGTGGCTGAGGAGGCTGTGGGCGTTCCTCCACCACCTCCACATGGCATTCCTCTGTCTGGACTGGCCCACTGCTCTCCTAGTGCAGTGTCTTTGCTGTTTCTTTTACACATTATTATTATTATTATTATTATCTTTTTGGCCGCATGGCATGTGGGATCTTATTTTCCCAACCAGGGATCGAACCCATGCCCCCTGCAGGGGAAGCACAGAGTCCTAACCACTGGGCTGCCAGGGAATTCCTCTTTTCCATGTTCTCTGCTTCCTGGTGGGCTTCAGAGTTTCCAGTGTTTTCAGAGAAGCTTTCTTCACTCTCTGGTCCATGCTTGCTCTCTCCTTCTTCTCGTTGAGACTCACAGGTTAGCACCAGTCATATCTGGTTTTGTGTCTTTTCAGTTTCTTTTGCCTCCCTGACTAGCTCATAAGCTGCTTGAGATTCAGAGCTATATTTAATATTCTTCCCACCCCTTCCCCACCATTTATCACGACATAAATTACAGGGGGCAGAAAATACTGAAGTGAGTTTCGACTTACGGTTTCGTTCATTTACTCATTTATGACTGTGCCGGGTCTCCGCTCCTTTGTGCGGGCTCCCTCTGCTCGCTGTGAGCGGCGACCCCTCTGGCCGTGGTGCCCGGCCTCTCGCCGCAGAAGCTCCCCTGCTGTGGGGTGCGGACTCGAGAGTGCAGGCGCGGGAGCTGCGGCTCCAGGGCTCCCAAGTGCAGACTCAGCCCTGGTGGTGCGTCGGCGTGTGGGATCTTCAGGACGAGGGGTCAGACCCGTGTCCACTGCACTGACAGGCGGATTCTCACCCACTGAACCCCAGGGAAGTCCTCAGAATTAATCTTAATGGCACTTGGTTTACCTTCCCTGTGGAATTAAGCTCTGACGATAATTTATACCCACCTGAAAGCCCCTCATTCCCACTGTGAAACCTGATTTGTCTTTGCATGACTAGACATCGAAAGCGTTACAATGCCTTGTTCTTCAGCCCCAGGTCTCCCCAGATGCCGGTTAAGATCTCTCGTCCTGCCTGAAGGTCAGCGGTGGAGACCTTGGCCATGGCGTCTGTGTCGGAGCCCGTTACCTTCAGAGAGTTCTGCCCGCTGTACTATCTGCTGAATGCCATCCCCACGAAGATCCAGAAGGGCTTCCGCTCACTGGTGGTCTACCTCACGGCCCTCGACACCAACGGGGACTACATCGCGGTGGGCAGCAGCATCGGCATGCTCTACCTGTACTGCCGGCAGCACGGCCAGATGAGGAAGTACAACTTCGAGGTGGGCGCGCTCATGTCCCCCTGAGCCAGGGCCCTGGCTGGTGTGTGACACGCCTGTGAGTCCAGGGTGGGGGGGTTGCTTCCGAGCTACTTCCGAAGCATGGCCTGAGTGTCCCACCCGAAGAGTACCTTACAGCCGTCCTTCAGGTGGAGTGCAACTAAAAATGCAATGTTTGAACTTGTTTTTCTTGCCTCCAGAAATCCAGCATTAATTGTTCCAATTTTAGCACATGTGCTGCCGAAGCGAGCACGCAGCATTACTTTAAAAGAGAGCATTACAGTGTTTAACACTTTGAAAAGAGGCACAATTTTCTAAGTGTTTTTTTTTCTTCTTCTTCTTTGTAAAAAATTTTTTGGCCATACCATGTGGCACGCGGGATTGAACTCGGATCCCCTACAATGGGAGCACAGAGTCTTAACCACTGGATCATCAGAGAAGTCTCTCTGAGTGTTTTCTGAGAGTACTTTGACTGATTGGCTCTCAAATAATCTAGGTATTATAGCAAAATTATTAAGAAAAATGGATCAGGATCAGTGTTGGCTAGGTGCCGGAACATGTATGCGGACTCTGCTGTAGCGCCCTGCTGTTGGGGTCCTGGCCGACCTCTGTTCTGGGTTGCTGCCTCAGGCATCTCTGTGTGTTGTAGATGCTGGGGATGGACCATCACCGTACTCACCTGTTTCATTAGTACCTGTGATTTATAAGAACATGGGCTTTGTGAGAGACGCAAGGGTGACCACATGGGGCTCTACACTGTGCTTAGTGGACTTTTGCAGACTAAGACAAGGCTTTTGTATTTAAGAGAAGTATTTACAAATATCAATATTTTAATCAGTATCAACTTATTAAAGTTTAATTTATAAAGTTGGTTTTTCTTAAGCCTCTGTAGTCAATTAAAATAACACAAATGGTTAGCATCCATATAGTACTTACTATGTGCCAGGCATTATTCTAAACCCTCTACATATATTAACTCATTTTATCCTCACAGAATTCTACGAGGTAGACAAAACAGCTCTATGTTGTTTTGTCCTCTCCGTTTTATCAGGGAGACAACTGAGGCTCAGAGAGGTTGAGTGACTTGCAAGATAGCCAGAAAGTGGTGACACTATGGTCTGAACCTGGGCAGATTGACTCTGGAGTTTGTATTTTTTGTCCAAAAATGAAAACTGTTGCTGTCTCTTTTCTTGATTAGTAGGGCATGGGTGTGACTGATCTGACCCCCGAATGTCTCAGACCACTGTATAGTGAGTCTTTAAAACCGTGGCTCTGAATTGTTGTCTTGGTTCAGTCCTCAGTCGCGTCCAACTCTTTGTGACCTCACGGACTGCAGCACGCTAGGCTTCCCTGTCCTTCACCACCTCCCAGAGCGTGCTCAAACTCATGTCCATTGAGTCGGTGATGCCATCCAACCAGCTCATCCTCTGTCGCCCCCTTCTCCTCCTGCCCTCAGTCTTTCCCACCATCAGGGTCTTTCAAATGAGTCAGTTCTTCGCATCAGGTGGCCAAAGTACTGGAGCTTCAACTTCAACGTCAGTCCTTCCAATGAATATTCAGGGTTGATTTCCTTTAGGATTGACTGGTTTGATTTCCTTGCTGTACAATAATTATGAATTAATCTGAAATCTCTCAAATAGTTTAGTACTGAACAAGGAAAACTTAATGACTCCAGCAGTGACCGCCCCCTGCACAGGATAGAGCAAAGAAGTCCATGCCCAGACACATTCTAATCAAACATCTAAAAACTCAAGACAGAAATCTTAAAAGCAGCCAGAGAAAATGACACATTACTTGTAGAGGACAATTAATTGAATGATGGGAAGTCTCATCGGAAACTAGAAGATGTTGGTGTAGCATGTATAAAGTGTTGAAAGAAAAGAATTGTCAGCTCAGAATTTTTATCCAGCAAAAATATCTATTAGGAAAGAAGGTGAAATAAAAATGTTTTCGGATGAAGGAAAACTAAAGGCATTCATTGCCAGCACACCGGCTCTAAATAATTGCTTCAGGAAGTTCTTTAGACAAATGATAATTGATACCAGAAGGAAACTTGGAACACCAGTAATGAAGGAAGAATAATAGTAAATGCACTAGGCTGTTTCCCTCCTCTTGAGTTCTTTTTAAATATATTTGACAGAAAAAATTATATCATTGTCTGATCAAGTTTTCCATTCATACATATGGAGTAACATATAAAAAAATTATAATGTAAGAGGGGAGAGTAAGGGACCTATAAGGTAGCAGGGTTTCTTCATTCTACTTGAAGAGGGTAAATGCTGCGTCTAAGTAGATTTTGGAAAGCTGTGTGTGTATATGTATGTGCATGTGTGGGTTTGTGTATCTCCCGCATTTGAGACGGTAATCCTTAGAGCAGCCACTGAAAGCCGCTGTACAGCACGGTGTAGTAAAAAATTACTATCGACACACCAAAATAGAATGTTAAAGTATGTTGAGACAGTTCTCGGAAAATCAAGAAAGGTTAAACAGAAGAAGGAAACGCAGGAGTAACAAACAAAAAACAAATAAAATCATAGACTTAAATCAAAACATGCCAATAATTATGTTAAATGAAAATGATCCATGCACATCAATTAAAAACAATTATTGGGATGGAAAAGAAACTCACAAACAACTATTTGTTGTTTATAAGAAACTCATTCAAATATAATCACGTCAATAGATAAAAGCCAAAGGATGAAAAAATATACTATGTAAATGCTGATCAAAAGAAGGTCGAGGGCTTCCCTGGTGGCTCAGTGTAAAGAATGCACCTGCCAGTGAAGGAAACACAGGTTCGATCCCTGGCCCAGGAGGGTCGCAGGCGCCCAGAGCAGCTAAGCCTGTGTGAGGGCTCCTGAGCCTGCGCCCTGGAGCCCTTGGTGCCCCCGCAGCCCGCGTGCCCTCGAGCCCATGCTCCGCAACAAGGGAACCACTGTAATGAGCAGCCCTTGCTCCGCAGCTGCAGAGCGGCCCCACTCGCTGAGACTGGAGAGGAGCCCACACAGCAGCAAAGACCCAGCACAGCCAAACATAAATGAAGGTATTTAAGAAAGAATGCTGACTGGCTGTATTAATATCAGAGTAGTCCTCTGAGCAAGGAAATAACCAGAGAGACAGTATTTAATGACAGAAGCGTCAGTTCAGTGATAAGGCACAGTGGTCCTAAATGTGTATCGTGTTCCTTAACAACAGGGCTTCACGACATATGAAGCAACAACTGACATAGCTGAAAGAAGAAGTTGAAAAATCTGCAGTTCTAGTTGGAGATGTCAACACCCACTGTCAGTAATAGTAGCAGACAGAAAATCAGCAGATGTGTAGCAGACTCGAGCAGCCCCATCCAGCTTTGTGATCTAAGTGATGTTTACAGAGCACTCCACCCAAAAGCAGCTCAGAGCACATTCTTTACAAGTGAACATGGAACAGTCACCAGGACAGACTGTATTCTTGGTCATAAAACACTCCTCAATAAATTTAAATTGGAGCAGACTTTGCATAAAAACCACAGACCTTTAATTTGTAAAATAACACTGTATCCGTGAAGCACAATAAAACGAGGCATGCCTATAACTATTTTTAAAATTTCAGCCTCCAAACTAAAACAAAACTTAACGGAAGCAAGAGTTTAGTACTCCCCAGAGTGAAAGTACAAGTTGCATCTGATACCAGTTTCCTGGTTTTACTGGAACTAGTTTTCTGTTTATTGGATGAGCCCCGTGAACTCTGGAGGGGTGTGCCGTGTGAGGACAGCTTCTGCAGGGACGAGCAGAACTGGGGGAATATGGTGCAGATGACTGGACCTAGGAAGGGAGAAGGGGACCCTGGGAAGTTCCATGCATAGGGTCATAGGAGAGCATATTTTACTGGGCCCAAATGCACACTCAGCAACTCAGTATTAAAAGGGTTTTTGAATACCCATTGGGTATAGAGTATAAGCATATTGTGGAGAATCACAAAGGAAGTAGAAAATAAAACTTCTCGTTTTGAAGAGGACAGAGAATTTGGATTTAGAATATTAGGGTTTGAAAACAAATGTCTGTATGTAAAACACATAGGAAAGGATCTGGAGGAATCTATTCATTATGACGATAGAGGGGACTGAGAATGGGAGCGGGAAGAGAGGGGAAGTGTCTATTTTTTCTACTTTATTATTTTTTACTTTAAATATTGTGGACTTATTAGAATTTGGACAATAAGTGTATATTCATCTGTTACTTGTATAAACACAACAACATAAAGATTTGTTTTGAGTTTGACTGTCTTCAGTTGTGTGAGCTGAGGATGAATTAAATATTTATGTCATTGTTACTGTAATTTTCGGCTTCAGAGCTGGGAGTCTTAGAATCATTTGGTACAGTCCCTGTGTTTTACAGATAAAGAAACAGCAAGATTCCTGCCCCAAGCCACATAGCTGGTTGCCTAACCATTTTGCTGTCTTCCTGTGTGGGGAGGCAGGGCTTCCACAAAAGTCTGGATTTAGAGGACAATAGAAACAGATTAACTGAGAGTTTCTTTGGAATTTCATAGTGACAATTGAGAGGTGCATCAGCTAGGTTTTTTTTGTTTGTTTGTTTTTTTAAATTTTTTAAAATTTTGGCCACACTGAGACATATGGGATCTTAGTTCCCCAACCAGGGATCAAACCCATGCCCCCCTGCAGTGGAAGTACACAACCTTAACCACTGGAGCATGGGGGAGGTCCCTCAACTAGTTTAGTTTAGGGAATGTCTAAGGTTTTATGGGAAGGTAAATAAAAATTAGTTTCGTGTTGTTCAGTTGCCCAGTTGTGTCTGACTCTTTGTGACCCCATAGACTGCAGCTCTCCAGACCTCTGTATCCCTCACCATCTCCAGAAGTTTGCCCAAGTTAATGTCCATTGCATCAGTGATGCCATCCAGCCATCTTATCCTCTGACGCCCTCTTCTTCTGCCCTCAATCTTTCCCAACATCAGGGAATTTTCCAGTGAATCAGCTGATCGTATCAGATGACCAAATTACTG